CACCACGGAATGGTATAGGTTGACCTGCCCATAAAGTGACCATTCTGTGGCAAATGTGTTTATGTGTTTGAAACATGTGGTCAGACCTACCATTTTGTAGTAACTAGCGGGTTTGAAGATTCAACTGGTTTTGCCATTTTATTTTGAAGGCATGGCCATTCATGAGAGCCATACCCAACCATTCTGAGTGACAGGGTTTTGCTCTACAAAATGGCAGCAGGAAAAAGGCAGTTTGAGCTGTGTCCCTGGCGGGGTGGGAGCTCTACAAAATGGTCCTGTTTTTTTTTCAAGTTCCTACAAGAGCATGAATGCACATGTTTGATCATTTTGGAGAGATCCAAGACAGTTGACATGCAGTACCATTTATAGGCCATGAAGTGCCCAGGGTCTATGGCCCTACCATTTTGTAGGAAACGGTCCCAAAGCTATTTTGTAGACAAGAAGGCTGGCTCTCTACAAAATGGACCATTGTGACCACCCAGGGAATGGCAAGGAGGGTATGTTTCATTGCAATCTCATCTTTCTAATATAGCTAATATTAAAGAACCACTCGCCTGGGACCCCGAATGAATGGATCCAACACTAAACCAATCCTATTTTTTGATTGCAACTTTCCTCATTTTCCACCATATCCAGCGCACATGCAGGTGGCCAAGGTTGGTATGGGCGTCTTTGCCTTGCTGGGCGTCAGCTGCATTGCCAGCTGAGCGGAGATGTAGGGTGGCATGGTTCCCATATCTCCTATGTTTTCTTGGCCAAAGATTCTATGGAATGTCGGTGAGGGACTCCCAATGATGGGACCTTCATGTCCATAATATTCCCATACTATTCGCGTTTCTTATGGGAGTAGTATGGGAACGGGGGTCCCATGATCCGGCGTCCCTAAAGGTTCTACCAACAGATGCCTTTGATGAAAGATAATTAAAATTATATTTGATCCCTGGACCCCTCAAGTATGTTTGTGTATTGTGTTTTTGTTGGCTTTTTCAATGCAGCCAGTCTGTGGGCTCCATCGAGGCGAACGCTTTTAACAAACCCACAACTTTCAAAGATGGCTTTACAGCTTAACGAAGCCAGTTTCAGCGCAACAGTCGTACAGTGCGGTTCGAAAAGACGTGAGTCGCATGGATGATCAGAGGCTGCTCGTTGCATTTTTCACATTGGATGCAACATGGAAATGCCAAACATAGTACTCATCCCTTTGGACTTTCAATGGTTTTGTGAAAGTGATTAAACATGGGGATGGCCTCAAAAAAGAATGTTGGTCCCTGCGGTCAGTTTTCTGGTAGCGCTGGTACCCTTATTTACACTATTTTGCTGTCACGACCGGATCCAACCATCTTCCGGTGGGGTGAGACCTGGGCCACTGGGCAATTTTTTCGCGTATGAAACCGCCTCCAAACATTTGATCCTGGCCATGGGTTAGGTTTCTATATTTATTTTTGTTGCTGGGGGCAATACTCAGCTCGCCGGCATCCTTTACCACTGTGTTTTTGTGCTTTGAAGATAGCACGGTGAACCGCACATTTGGCAATGCACTTGGTCTGAATCATTTGCGAAAACGTTGCAACTTGAAACCTTTCCAAAAATATGTCCAAAAAGAGTGCCTGATTGGCAAAACCCACTTGCAAATCTCCACATTTGGATGGTTTTTAGTTTACACCACCCATGCCCAGCAAAAAGGTGGGTGGTTTATTGTGGGTTCATGACATAAAGGCAAAGCGTCACAAACGTTATTATATCATTTACAATTTGCATCAACACATATCTGAATCTATAGTCTATTTTCATTGCTCATCAATGAAACTGTGGTTGGCAAGGGGATCCGTCCCACAGGTTTGCTTGCTTTAACAAATATGCGCTAATTAATATGCCATCGTTCTATTACTACCATATGATATTTACCATTTTCTCACAGATATAGTGTTTAGTTCCTCTTAAAATCGGATAACGATAGCTTTAAATAGCTCTAGAAATGGAACTAGTGGTTAGTTACTCCATGTTACTCAATTATTTGATTATCATTTCGTTCATCACTATATCATTATCGGGATATGGCTATAGTCTATAGTTACCGTATATCCCTATCATATACCCATTTTACACCCCATAAATAAGCACACTGATGGTTGATACAATCCAACTACGTACTATTAACCTTCACTACCCATTGGCGCACGCATTTGCCCCATTGTGTCCTATGATAGATCCCATAATATTCCCAGCAAATCCGATTACAAGATCCCATGGAAATTATGTTATTCCATGTTATTCCATAATTTGACCCATTAGCTATCAAACTCACGGCTCCCCACAAATAATCGAATTTTATTTTATGTACCTTTTAATATTGCATCTCAATGAAATCCTGCGAAAATTTCAGGGTTGATGGTAAAATTCCCCTTTATCAGGCATCATATGCATATGCTACACCCCATTGATAGTCACCACTGTGATTTTATGGTGGATGAATTCCACCATGCTCACATATTCTACTTGCAAGTAACCTTTACTACCCTCTGGTAAAACTAACTTAACTATGGAAAATCACAATTTTTAATGGGAAAACTCACTATATGGCCATTTGCAATAGCTATGTTAAATTACCAGAGGTTACCCATTAGCTCACGTATTTTGCCCCAATCTTTTGTTGCCCACGGCGAGGAGATACCCTGTTGCGGCTCACAGATGATGCGGCACTGCTGTCCTGACATGTTTGGCCGTTTGGCCCAGGGGTCCAGCTGGGCCAATGGGGGAACCTTAATGCGGGGATATGGAATGTAACAGTAATGGAAAATGTCACCAACAGCATATAGTAATCCCCAAACAGGTAGAAATAAGCAAAATTTTACTAAAATTGCAAAAATAGTGATGAATCACTTTTCTAACGCTTATGGGGCTACTATATGTATGTATATATAATTTAATATGCAAGGATAAATTTGATGTTGGGACCAAACCCTGCAACCTCACTGGAATGACAGTTTACTAAATTTGGAACTATCGCCAAGTGGCTGCACTTTTCAGGTTTGTGAATCAGTTATTTACTCTTTTCGTGATTTATCCAGGTGAAATGGGGATATGCGATGCCCTCGGAAACGTAACCAACAATATAGACACAATGGGATACGTGGGGGCTTAAGTCGTGGGTGGGCCCCTTGACATGGACATCCAAGAATGAGAAAGTCGCAGACACATGATGATTACAGTAACATAATTATCAGCATATTTTAACAATGAGCAAACTCATGCTTGCAAACAATGGATGATTTGTTTGAACTAGTGTTAGACTATGATAATGCTGTTTTGGAGGTTCGCTCTCGGGGTATTGATCTTGAAGGGCTTCTTTTACAAGCTTGTAACCAGTGGAGTCTCCAAAAAGCTTTGGTAAAAGCATTGAAACTGAAGAACGTGACGCCTTATTGCCCTATTCTTCGCTTACAAGACAAATTTGACAGATGGCGTCTTTCGGAGCGAGGCAACATTGCTTGTCGCAGAGCTTTTGCGATGTCTTCAGCACATCTCAAAACATTCACGCCCTGCAGTTGTCATTGCTATTTTGCGCGTTTGGTTCAATGGCTGGCCAACCGCGCGTAGAATGCGAAACATGCCTTCCAATGAAGCAACTCAGAGATGCAAACTTGGTTGCCAACTTTGTGGCGATTCTATTGAACATTATTCGTGCTGCCGTATTTTTTGGAAATTTTGCTGCTCCCCCCCTTCCCCATGGTATGGGAATTTCTTCCAGGCACAGATCAAAGGAAACATTTTTCATGGTGAATTACGATTTATGCGAGAACAATTTTCTGAAATTGGCTCATGCAACCCATGTTCTGCAATTTTTTTTGCTTGGTGCATCACCCGTGGAGCCCCCCAGCAATCTCAACGTGAACAAGGTGTTGATGCTTCCGGTTAAGCAGACAGCTGCTGGTTTCAACGCTTCCAGGGAAATTTCCCAGCCTTCCCGCAATGCTACCTTGTATGACATTGACACGCCTATCCTTTCACAACTTGGAATCTGATTCTCCAACATCTTCAACGACTGAGAGGGAAACTATTGTTCATGGAGTAATTTTGTCAGTTTGCTGGTGTGCCCAGCTCTCTTTGCACTTTGCAGCTTTCCTGCTTTCATTCCCAGGGGAAAAAAATAAGCCGGATTGAAAAAGGTGGCTCATCGTATCATCTAGGCTTTTCTTTTGAAAAATTGTTTATTTAGGGGACGGGAGATGCTATTTCTAGTTGAATTTCACCCTGAAGATAGAGGTAGCGGCGCAATTCCCGTTTATGCATATTTATACCACATTTGAAAGGATGAACATCCATGTGCCCAGCTATTTTTCAGGGGACCGGGGTTCTTTTTAGGTCCCGGGGGTCCGAAGAATGGCCAGGTCCGTGGCAAAAGCCAATCAGCTGGGGTGTTGGCGAGGACTCCAATGGAGATCTGACACAGTTCACAGGGCAGTTCGGATTGGATCTTTGGTCCACAAAACACTTAACAAACAAAGAGAACTAATAGTTTGCTTTTGAATATATGGCCATTTATACATTATTTACCTATTAAAAGTGGTGATTTTCCATACTTATGTGAATTTAACAAACAGTAACAACAACAGAAAACCAGCTGACAGTGGTTGATTTTGGCTAAATAATGGTCAGTTGATAGTGGTAGGTGATTTCAAAGTAATTGGCACTTAATCGTGCACAGTTTGAGGGGGTTGATAATGATCAAAGCCCGGCCATTTGCAGCGGGTTATGGCTCGTTCCATCGGTGTGGCATTTCACCAAATTGCAGTCTAACCATTCTCAAGGGGGACAGACCGATGTACAACCCAACCAAACATTCACACTTGAAGTAAAAATATTAACGTAATTAACGTATGAAAAAGTAGGTAGGTTCGAACAGTAATAGCACAGAACACATAGACCACCAGTTACTAGTGGTAAATCTTGGTTTCGCCTTTTCATCCTTTTCCGATTTGTCTCAGCAACCATCTACTCCCATGGCTGTCCTGAGGCCATTGCTGGTGCAGCGTTTGGGCGAAATTGCGCGGGCCCCGAAGGGGAGCACCAGCGGGCAATGGGAACGATGTGATTAATCAGGTATGTCTGAAAATGGGGTATACGTATCAAAATTATTCAGAATTGTCATGTCTGTAAATGTTTGTAGGACAACGATGACTAACCAGTGGATTTAAAAAATTAGGGGCACCCATTTCCCAATCCCGGGTTGAAAATGGTTGAATGCTGCTGAAAGCAGCACTGGACGACAGAACAATACACATCAAAATGAACGAGACTAATGCATATCCCACATCAGAGTAATTTGGCTATGGTTTCTAGACATTTGAACGACCTCACTGTGAACTGGCTGGCATGATGGTTTTGATTGGGGTAAGTATTTCCAACTGGCCTTATCAATCCCTTTTTCCCCACCTGCCAGGTGAGGGTTGTTAGATTTTATCACAGTTGTTCTCCTCCTCCGTCTCCTCCACCTCCTCCTCCTCCTCATCCTCCACCTCCTCCTCCTCCTCCCTCTCCTCCAGCTTCTCCTCCACCACCTTTGCATCCACTCCCATGTTCACTTCGGCCTTGCCAACTCTTCGCCAAGCTCTTCGCCAACTTCCGCACGCAGTGGGCACTGCTGGACCTCAACTGCAAGGGTTTGAGCGCACTGGGCACCGCTGGACCTCAACCTGGAACCTTCCGAGCTCAGTGAGCACCGCTGGACCTCAACCTGGGACTGTCCTAGCTCAGTGAGCACCGCTGGACCTCAACCTGGGACCCTCCGAGCTCAGTGAGCACCGCTGGCCCTCAACGGCCAGATAGAATGCCAGAAGATATGCCAGATAGAACGCCAGATAGAATGTCAGAAAGAATGCCAGAAGATACGCCAGATAAAGCGCCAGAATGTTTGCCAGATAGAATGCCAGAAGAGATGCCAGATAGAATGCCAGAAGGTATGCCAGATAGAATGTCAGATAGAATGCCAGAAGGTATGCCAGATAAAGTGCCAGAATGTTTGCCAGATAGAACGCCAGAAGATTTGCCAGATCGAATGCCAGATAGAATGTCAGAAGATATGCCAGAAGATATGCCAGATAGAGTGCCAGAAGATATGCCAGAACATATTGCAGAAGATATGCCAGGTAGAATGCCAGAAGAGATGCCAGATAGAATGCCAGAAGATATGCCAGATAAAATGCCAGAAGATATGTCAGATAGAATGCCAGAAGATTTGCCAGTAACAAAACGTATAGATGTCATGGTGGGGGAGAACTCGAAGTAAAGTAATTCAGGTTGGTGATTTTTCCAGTTTATTCAGAATCCCTTTTTTTTACCCAGGTTTGATCCGCCATTATCCTTCCCAGATATCACCATAAATGCTTACGAGTTGGGGGTCCCCCAAACAATAGCTAAGTTGGCTAACTATGATTTATGGGGGGCACAACTATATACATTTATAGTTGATACCAGTAGTACTGGACAATGCGGCGGCGGACGTTTCAAAGATAGGACACTATAGGAGAGGTGAGTTGTTGTGATGAATGGATGGCAGAGCGAATCCACTGATGGACCGAAAGGTGGTTGGAGTTGTTTTTTTGAATTGGTTGCAGTGGTCACCTAAACCACAAGTGCTGGATGTAGTGTGGTGTAGCGTGGTGCAATGTAGTTGTAGATGTTCTGTAGCTGTAGCTGTAGCTGTAGTTGATGTTGTTGTATTCATGTTGTAGTTGGCTGTAGTTATTGCTGTCGTAGTTGTGGTTGTAGCTGTTGTAGCTGTAGTTGTAGTTGTAGTTTAGTGGTAGTGTAGTGGTAGTGGTATGTGGTGAAGTGGACTGTAGTGTAGTGTAGTGGAGCTGTAGTTGTAGTTTGCTCTAGCCTTTGCTGTTGTAGTTGGGGTTGCTGTAATAGTTGCAGTTGTAGTTGTAGTTGTAGTGCCGTGCAGTGGAGGGTAGTGTAGTGGAGTGGAGTGTGGTGTAGTGGTAGTGGTAGTTGGGGATTTATGGGGATTTATCGATAAGTTGGTTTATAAACCAGATTTCAGTAGCAACCATAGTTAAGTTATATATATTCATCTATAGACCAATTTCTCCGGATAAACTCCCAAAAATCCAAATTTTCTCCAGAGAGCCGAGGTGCAAAGCCAAGGCAGTCGCTGGGAGTCGAAGTCCTTGGAGGCCTGGGTCGCCTGCGTAGCCAACCATATCTAACCTAGGCATGTATTCTAAGGAGGAGTGAGCCTGCCCCCCCTCATTCGTACATGTTTGACCCTTCTTGTCCTTTTGATCCAAAAGTTACTGTAAGGTGTTTTTGGTCTAGAGGGACATAGAACAGGATTCTATTGAATTTTGTGTGTATCCAACTATATCTAATATGTAACCTGGACATGTATTCTGAGGAGGGGTGAGCCTGCCCCTCCTCATTCATACATTTTTGTCTCTGACCCTTCTTCAAATTGGTGGTTAGTGCCATTTTGACCCAAAAATAGTGTAAAGTGCTCTATTTGGGTATACCAGGACATAAAGGGAGCCCATTGGATTTTGTGTGAATTTTCACCAAACACATATAGAAATGTTTTCCAATCAGGGGTGAGCCTGTCGCCCGCATCAGTCATGCATTTTTGACATCCCCAGAGAAGCGATTAGTGCCATTTTGATCCAAAAGTTGTTGACGTAGAACGATTCTATTGGGTTTTGTGTCAAACCATATCCAACCGTATCTGACTATCACAGTGTGAAACTGAGCCTTCAAATCATTTTTCACATTATATAAGATTGTTTCATTTTTTCAGGGATTTCTATGTTAACCGATAACATCTCATATCTTACAATCATACTTAGAAACTGAGGCTCCGATAGATCTGCGCATTTTTTTACACCTCAGAACATCTCAACTCGCACTGTGACATCAGTTGGAGGGAAGCAGCAGCAGATTTTGACTGAATGTGTCAGGTCTGAAAAATTGTTCCCGTGATTTTTCCTTGCCAAAATTTTGCCTTGTCCCCCCTTCTTTAGCCTTGCCAAATTCTTCTGCATACATTTAAAGATATCAGCCCCTTCAACAAAATCAACCCTCTCCCCCTCTATTTCATAAATTATTGAAAAATGGGTGGCTGTAGGATCACACCCCTAGTGTTCATACATCTCTGAACTAATGTATGATCACTGTTCTCCCATCGGCTTCATACATTTTACGTGAGATATGTCAAACCCCTCCCATATATTGCAAAAAATGTATGCCAGGGGGGTGTACAAAACCATTGGGGAGTGATCACACATACACACATATATATATATAGATCTACACATATGCATGTACATGTACATGTGCATGTACATACATATGTATATATATATACACGTACATATATATATATGTACATATATATATGTATATAAATATATGTATATATATATGTGTATATATATATATATATATCAAGCACGCATCAGACCATTGCTTTGGTGTTGTCCCAGGTGCGCGACAACGACGAGGTGCTGGAAACTGAGGCGCGCTGGCGGCATGGCCGGGTTTCTGGTGCTTTTATCCGCACGGATATGGGACTTTCATTGGAAAAAAATGACAAGAGGTGGGGACATGTGAACATGTGGAGAAATCTATATTGAAACATTGTATGGTTCCATGTTCCAAGATTGTTTATCTCACACAGTGGGTGAAGATCCCTGTGCTGAAACATTTGGGACGTTCCCCAGGACAGGGTTTTGACCACGAAACTAGCTTAGGTCTTGGACTGTACTTGGGAGTCGTTTTGCTTACCAATCGTTCTGCTCGGTGGTTGCTGGGAAGAAATTTGCAACTGTGGCGTCGTTCCTACTTCCATTTCTAGAAATAAGGTGAAATAGGAAAAAAAATCCCCTACACCACTGCAGGCAACTATTTCTGCAACGAGTCAGGAAAGCCCTTGTCCTGGGAAGTTCCGCTTCCAAAATTGAACGGCTCAAACCCTGCTACTGGATATTGCATTTTTGGGTCATAGACTTCACGCTCTGGAATTTGGTTGATCCATGGATTCATGCCCCAAATGCAAACACACCCTGATGTGGGATGCGCAATTACAAACCATCTCCAGCAACCAACTTATTTAAGGCTCACTATATTGCATAGGTTTGTACAGTAATTATATAAATCATCTCAAGTAAGGGGGCGATGTCAAGCCTGGATGAGACTAAATCCTGGTTGAATCATTGGGCCCCCCCTAAATAGTGAGTTTACTTGCTACAAATCAACGGTACCACAGCAATGAAGCAGCACCTTCATCTGGCCCAGGTGCCTGGCGTGTTGCTGGGGCAGCTGAAGCCCTTACTGCTTGGGGGCCCAGCTCAGAGTTTCGTGGATTCTGATGCTTTTCTTTGGCAATTTGCATCGCGGCAATGTTGGTCCCCATTGGTTTCTGGATCAGACAGGATATCTTCATTCTTGGATGATGAAATCTTCCAATATCTTTTCCATTTTCCATGCATGCAGCTTTCAAGCCATGGTTCCAGAGCCAGGATCCGTCACTGGGATTCTGGTTTCGAAGTCTGCGAGCCCAGCGAAAGTGTAGGCTGTTGAGCTTAACCCTTGAAGAAATGGTTGACACGCATGGCATTGCCTGGCATGGCATGGCACGTGGCAGGTCTGTTTTCCATCCCCAAAATGGGATCACCCCTGCCTGGGGCATCAAGGAACGTGGCCTCGGGTTTTTCAACGAAGTGCCTTGCCTCAGAGCGGTCGGGAAAGGGGTGGCTATCTCTGTATATATATATATATATGCGTGTGTGTCTAATACATGATGTAACATATAATACGTGGTATATGGATGTTTATCTCCCAAACTCCTGGGGTTGGTCAACTCCCGCACCCTGGAGTCACGCCCAAAAGCTGGGCCCGTCAGGTGGGTCAATTTGTGAACTTGCGGAAGTGCTGCCGGCCGCGTTTGTTTGATGAAGTTTGATGTTGCTGAGCCTTTGTGTGCAGCCTACAATTTGAGATTGAAACCATCAACTGGAGTTCCATACAGTCAGTCTGGCTTCAATCTTCAGGATATTTTTTGGGCGTGTCACCTCGCTTTCATGGTGGAGACTTGCCTTCTTCCAATGTGGATCCCAAGCCTATAAATACGTAGACATGAAACTCTCTCTCTCTATATATATATATAAATAATATACGCATCATGTGATTCTATCTGTTGTTCTATATATGTCTTTATGTAGACAATTAATGTCAACCCTGGATTATTAAACCCCTAGGCTGTTTAATTGGGAGAGTACCATTAAGGTATAAGATTATGACTATTAAAAACACCACCCTAATTAATAAACCATGGTTGATTCATCCGCGGTTGACATTATTGGTTTGTATATATATATATGATTATATATTAACAGATGTATACATACATATATACATATATACATATATACATCTCTACATATATATGGTGCAGCGTTGGCCAGCCCCCCTCCCCCCCACCAATGCGTATGGGTTGACAGTATCGTCTGGTTCTTCTGGCGCCGCCCCCCCCTGTGGCCTGTGGTGGTGGTATGGTTCTTCTGGTCCCCCCCCCTGGCCTGTGGTGGTGGTATGGTTCTTCTGGTCCCCCCCCCTCCTGTGGCCTGTGGTGGTGGTATGTTGGTATGTTGGTATGTTGGAATGTTGCTATGTTGGTATGTATGTTGGTGGTATGTATGTTGGTATGTATGTTGGTATGTATGTTGGTATGTATGTTGGTATGTATGTATGTATGTAGGTAGGTAGGTAGGTATGTATGCATGTATGTATGTATGTATGTATTAATGTAATGTAATGTAATGGAATGGAGTGGAATGAAATGGAATGTAATGGTATGTATGTATGTATGTATGTAGGTATGTATTAATGAAATGAAATGTATGTATGTATGTATGTATGTAAGTATGTATGTATGTATGTCTGTATGTATGTATGTAGGTATGTATGTTGGTATGTATGTATGTACGTATGTATGTATGTATGCATGCATGTATGTATGTATGTGTGTGTATGTATGTATGTCTGTCTGTATGTATGTATGTATGCATGTATGTATGTATTTATGTTGGTATGCATGTATGCATGTATTGCATGTATGCATGTATGCATGTATGCATGTATGCATGTATGCATGTATGCATGTATGCATGTATGCATGTATGCATGTATGCATGTATGCATGTATGCATGCATGCATGTATGTATGTATGTATGTATGTACGTATGTACGTACGTACGTATGTACGTATGTACGTATGTACGTATGTACTTATGTACGCATGTACGCATGTACGTATGTACGTGTGTACGTGTGTACGTAGGTACGTAGGTACGTAGGTACGTAGGTACGTAGGTACGTAGGTACGTAGGTACGTAGGTACGTAGGTACGTAGGTACGTAGGTACGTAGGTACGTAGGTACGTAGGTACGTAGGTACTCGTACGTAAGTACGTAGGTAGGTAGGTACGTAGGTATGTAGGTATGTAGGTCTGTAGGTATGTATGTATGTATGTATGTTTGTGTGTGTTTGTGTGTATGTATGTAGGTAGGTAGGTAGGTAGGTATGTATGTCTGTGTGTGTAGGTAGGTAGGTAGGTCGGTCGGTCGGTAGGTAGGTAGGTAGGTATATGTAGGTATGTATGTATGTATGTATGTATGTATATATGTAAATATGCGTGTACGTACACATACACTATCATAGAGAAATGCATGTAACATGTATATAGATATAAATATACATACATACATGCATACATACATACATGCATGCATGCATACATACATAGATACATACATCCATGCATACATACATACATACATACCACCACCACAGGGGCATCATACCCCTCCCACCCATGGGGGGGGGCCGGGGGGGCCGGGGGGGTGGGAACACGGGACACGGGACCATATATATATATATTTATATATACACACACATATATATATATATTATATACAGTCATATGCAGTATTGGTATCTTGCTTATCATTGATATGTTACATATGTATGCAGTTGTGCACAATCCACTGTTTTTCCACTGACCTTGGGCCCTTGCGCTTGGCTTGATCAATCTCTGCCAGGATGAAGCACTTCATCGCTGAGCTCTTGAAATGGCGCGGGTTAAGAATGGCCTGGATGGGTTAAGAAGGAATAATGTGGTTAAAACAAAAATAAACCACCCGTTTGGAAATGGTTTATACCACCTATTTATCGTGATTTGGGGGTGGTTTATTCTTGTTTTACCAACATTAATCCCATCCCCTATGTATACTAAACACCGCCTGAACGGTCCCACATATGTGTAAATCATTGAAAACCCCTACTAAACCATAGTTTCTTGGGGATGTTTGATATTATGGGGAAGTGACAAGTGGTTGGATATGTTGGATGGTTAACTAACAATATGCTGGTACAACCCATGAATTAGTTAGCATAATTGCCAACAATGGTTGATTAGTGGCGTGGCAGACCCCATAACAAACTATCCAATGAACCAACCATTTTGGGGTCATTTTACCGCATCCCAAAAAGGGTGTACTCACTAGCAGGCATTTTTTTGGGATGGTTTATTCTTGGGTTTGCCCCATTTGTTAATATTTGATAGGGAGTGTCAATATTAGATTAACAGTGTAGTCAATATAAAAAATGCTAGGTATTAAAAGGCTCAATGCTGTCCCATTTTGTTGCCATAAGCGGAGTATCACCAGCTCTGTTCGCTCAATCTTGAATATCTTGTAATACGTCCCAGGTTTTTTTCCACTCTTGTCGATCGGATATTTCTCTTTGCGTTCAGCAAATCCCAAGCCTGTGGTCATGATCCACGTTTCATCTGCATTCTTACACCTTGTTGTTCCCACATTTTCGCTACTCAAACATGGTGTGCTGGAAATAATCCCTCATTTAGTTCAATGATTTTCCCATAGAAACACCATTGTCACCGAAGGGTAAACACCATTATATTCCAATTGTAGCCCCATGATTTAAACAATCCTAGCAATTTATAGACGTTTATAGATGTGTTGTTCATGTTTTTCCCCAGTTAAACCATGTAAAATCATGTTAAACCATGTCAAAACACATGTTCCCCACGTTTTCCCAACATGTCACACATTTTCCCTTAACATATTCCCCACACATATCCCCCACACGTATCCCCATCGACCAGGCGCTGCAAGCGGCAGGAGCTGGTGAGGAGTCAGGCGCGTCACGGCTGATGTTGATGCGATATGTCATGCATTGGTGGGATGACTGGAATATACCCTCTGGAAAACAAATATAGCTATTGAAAATTGTCATTTACAGTGGATTTACCCATTAAAAATTGTGATTTTCCATAGTTATGTTAATTTACCAGAGGGCAAATGGAATACTAATGGAATAGTAATGGGATGATTTTTGGATTTTCCCAATGGGAAGTCCACTACTTCGGTAATCCATGGGGAAAAGGTTATATTTTTGTGACGGTTCCGTACGGGAATGTAAGATATTGAATGGACTACCATTCCCCACATGAATAGGCCCTGCCATGAGGTTGGGGGTTGGACGATTAGTTTCCGCAAAATGTAGGCTATGTTCGGGGTCCATGTTTCAATTTTGGTGAGGGTATATTCCAATATGCATGCGGGAATGCAATGGGATATTCTATAGGACATTTTTTGGGGCATGAAAAATGGTGGACTACCTCTGGTAAGGTTGCAGGTTGCCGAAAACTGAGGAACATCACAATTTTATACAATCTTGATAGGTGAAGTCAATGAGCGTAATGGGTATGTTGAATTACCAGAGTGCAACTGCCAACCATGGGTTTGACAACCAGGGGAAACTTCATTAATCACCAGTTTTAACCAGTACACATGAAATCATTATTGACCATTATCAATCATCATCACCATTTTTCATGTAAACCAACTACTGTAATATTCCTTCCTTATTCCATTATTATGCCACTTTTATCCCACGAATAGATGATTAATGCGCCATCACATCCCTCTTAGCAAATCACCATCAAAGGATTCATGAACCATTATTAACCATTATATATTTATCATTATTTTACCGGACTTTTTCATATAAACCTCCATTTGTAGGGATTTATAGGGGATAACCAGAAGGTAGGCGGCTTCGTCCCACCGACGTGCAGGCCGTGAAGGCTTCTGCGGTGGACCAAGCCCTTGAGACTCGACTGATCTTGGCAACCAGCACGAGGCATGCGGGAGACGTCCCTGGCCCCAGGAAACAGTCATGAGGAATAACAAAGAATATTTATATCAAATATAGATATACCATGATGATCAAGGATGATTGCTAAATTATTATTGCTATCGGTTTTCATTATCATCGTTTTTGTCAAAACTACTACTCGTATTTTGTTGTAATTGACATTGTTTTTGTCATTGTTTCTACTGCTTTCATCATTGTTACTTTTTGAAGTTTTTTGGGATTGTTATGTTCATTCCCTTTGTGTTTTCTTGTGATTATTGTTGTGATTGCTTTTCGTAGTGCTATTGCGATTATTGTTTTGGTGATGATGATGGTGATGATGATGATGATGATGAGGATGATGATGCTGATGTTGATGATGATGATGATGATGATGAGTAGCAGTAGCAGTAGCAGTAGCAGCAGAAGCAGTAGTAGCAGTAGTCGTAGTTAGTAGTAGTAGCAGCAGCAGTAGCAGCATCAGCAGCGGTAGCAGTAGAAGTAGCAGTAGCAGTGGCAGTAGTAGCAGTAGCAGTAGTGGTAGTGGTAGTGGTAGTCGTCGTCGCCGTCGTAATTGTATAGTGGAAGTCGTATAGTCGTAGTCGTATAGTCGTATAGTCCTATAGTCGTATAGTCGTATAGTCGTATAGTCGTATAGTCGTTTAGTCGTATAGTCGTATAGTCGTATAGTCGTAGTCGTCGTCGTAGTAGTATAGTAGTCGTCGTAGTAGTAGTCGTAGTCGTAGTAGTCGTAGTCGTAGGCGCGTAGGCGTAGTCGTAGTCGTAGTCGTCGTCGTTGTTAGTTGTAGTTGTATACGTCGTAGTCGTAGTCGTCGTCGTCGTCATAGTCGTAGTCAAGGTCGTCGTCGTCGTCGTCGCCGCCGCCGCCGCCGTAGTAGTAGTAGTAGTAGTAGTCGTAGTAGTAGTAGTAGTATTAGTAGTAGTAGTAGTAGTAGTATACAGTAAGTAGTAGCAGTGGCAGTGGCAGTGGTAGTGGTAGTGGTAGTAGTAGTAGTAGTAGTAGGAGTAGAGTAGTAGTAGTAGTAGTAGTAGTAGCAGTAGCAGTAGGAGTAATAGTAGTAGTAGTAGTAGTAGTAGCAGGAGTAGCAGTACCAGTGGCAGTGGTAGTGGTAGTGGTAGTATAGTGGTCGTCGTCGTCGTAGTAGTAGTCGTAGTCGTAGTCGTAGCAGTAGTAGTACCAGTCTAGTAGTAGTAGTAGTAGTAGTAGTAGTAGTAGTAGTACTAGTAGTATAGTACTAGTAGTAGTAGTAGTAGTAGTAGTAGGAGTATAGTAGTAGTAGTAGTAGTAGTAGTAGTAGTAGTAGTAGTAGTAGCAGTAGCAGTAGCAGTAGCAGTAGCAGTAGCAGTAGCAGTAGCAGTAGCAGTAGTAGTAGTAGTCGTAGTGGTGGTGGTGGTGGTGGTAGTATAGTAGGAGTAGGAGTAGGAGTAGGAGTAGGAGTAGGAGTAGGAGTAGGAGTAATAGTAGTAGTCGTCGTCGTAGTAGTAGTAGTAGCAGTAGCAGTAGCAGTACCAGTGGCCGTGGCAGTGGTAGTGGTAGAGGTAGTGGTAGTATAGTGGTCGTTGTCGTCGTCGTAGTAGTCGTAGTCGTAGTCGTAGCAGTAGTAGTACCAGTTCTATAGTACTACAGTAGTACTAGTACTAGTAGTCTAGTAGTCTAGTAGTCTAGTAGTCTAGTAGTAGTAGTAGTAGTAGTAGTAGTAGTAGTAGTACTAGTAGTAGTACTAGTAGTATAGTACTAGTAGTAGTAGTAGTAGTAGTAGTAGGAGTAGAGTAGTAGTAGGAGTAGAGTAGTAGTAGTAGTAGTAGTAGTAGTAGTAGGAGTAGAGTAGTAGTAGTAGTAGTAGTAGTAGGAGTAGCAGGAGTAGCAGGAGTAGCAGGAGTAGCAGGAGTAGCAGGAGTAGCAGGAGTAGCAGGAGTAGCAGGAGTAGCAGGAGTAGCAGGAGTAGCAGTAGCAGTAGCACTGTGGTCAAAAGCCATCGCTTGCCCGTGGCTGCAAAAGATACCATCTTCATCAACATCAGCAACGAAGTCATCATTCTACCCCATCATCCGTCACATTGTTCATCATCATCATCATCATCATCATCATCATCATCTAAATCATCATCATCATCGTCGTCGTCGTCATCACCATCATCATGATCAGCTGCATCAGCGTCAGCATCAGCATCAGACAACAGGTGACGTGGTCACTCGCATTGCCAAGCGACGGGCTGAATGTTGTACGTTGCATTGATTACAAGATATGTGTGCAAGTTCATGAAGTATGATGTATGTGCCATTGTGAACAGAACATATTATTGTATTTTCGAGATGTTGTTTACGCTTATGTTGAACATATTGGTCGGCCACGAAGATATTGTCACATATTGTAGACCAGGCAATTGGTACATTAGTAAGTATGTGCGTGAATATTTGAATGTAAAAAATGCGTTTTGAATTCATGGGCAACCGATGTTGCCTGCATGTATTGTTGCTATAGATCTATTATCTATTGGCTAATCGAATATCCATTTATATATCCATTATTATCCGTCATTATGCTGAAACATGCATGCCCTTTTTGCCTTTTGAGTCACGTGCAGGGTCTCCCGAAATGTTTGCAGTTTGCAGTTCAGCCAGCCGCCCGGTCACACCACTCCTTGCTTCCTGCGCCTTCTTGCAAGCGACAGATGTTCGACACTCTCCAATTGCACCTGTGGTCAGTGTCAGCCAAGCTTTAGTGCTATGATATGACTACTTGGGCTGTCGCTGGCTAGATCTGGCACGTGCGATGAAGAGGTGGATACAGATGGATGATGAACATGAAAGAACCAATTCAGCTAGCAGCTAGCATGGAATCAGATGCCTACTTGGTGCAGTTCCAGTTTTGTTTTTGTTTTAAGATCCAACTATATAAACACACATTTTCTTACATAAACCATATAGCATACTTAAACAAAATATTGTGCAACTTAGCTGGGTATGTGGCACCACCTTGTACACTCTTCAAATAGCATTGTTTTTTCTGAGGTTTCAGGCCCAGGCCCTTTCATTTCCCTGGGACCTTCGTTGCTGTGGGGAAGGCACAATGACATGGTCCTGTGCTGCAGCTACTGCAGTGGGAGTGGTCTCAAAGGGTGTGGAAACTCAGGGGGGGTTCAAACTTGGGGGTGCTGTCAGGATTATTGCAATTGTGGTTCTACATCCACTTATATGCCTGGAACTGCGCCCCCAAGAAGGACCTGAGGATTTAAATCCATCGATTTCTGGCAAGTCATTGAGGTTGGTTTATGGCATTGGGTTTGCCACATTGTTTTGGTCTTTGCTGACCAAGATTTTTCCCGCGCAAAATCACCCTAAATTGAACTATTCTATGTCTTCCCCATTTTTCACAGACCCCCAAAATGGCCAGGATCGCGTTATAGCGGGGCGAGTTGGTGGGCTCGACTGTATGGAGTATGGCCAGCCATAAAATAAATAACAGCGGATGCTTGAAAGATCAATGAGACATAGGGTTTTTTACCAGCGGATGATAGGGTTCAAATTAACAAAGAGTTTTCTGGAAGCAACGCGCAGTGCAGGTGGAAGCAACTAAGAAAGGAATGGTGAAATCAGCCTGCAATGATATAGGGCTTGGCAGTGGTGATTTGGGCGTCATGCCCACCAGGCTGCCACCAAAAGGGGAATGGACAGTAAATAAATGTGCAATAAGGCATTGGTATGATCCGTTTGGTGGACGTCAGTTTCCCGCATTTCAACAGAAAAAATAAAGTGCAACAAAATTGCGTTTGCGGTGAATTCCTCTGCCTCACCCTGGGTCGGGTCACAGTTGGTGTTTATAAATTGTAAAATTGGGAAAGGCCCTTTGACATGTCAACCTTGTGATGTCAAACATGATCAATTAAACAGCACGAACCAGCTTTCAAAAACAGTATTTCCAGATTCCAGCTAGACGGGAGATGATTGTCTCATGACATAAGTTGAGAGAAATCGTAGAAAAACCGAGTAAATCACCATGAAATTTGGAAGTTGTCCATTCCAAAAAAGGGATGCTTTGCATTTTTTAAGGTCCATGTCGTCACCGATGGCTTCAGCCCCGGCAGCCTCACCCAGCAAGACACAGGTCGCCCTCGGAAGTTTTTGAAGCTTCGGGGATATTTAAACTTGGCGAAGATATTTCCAAAATATCTGTATTGGAGGGATGTCATCTTATGAGAATTTCAGCCCTTTCCAAAGGTGACATCCCTTCAATTTCCAAAAGGCGACATCCCTTCAGTAATAGATGGCTGGTGAGTATTTATGAATGACTATTGGTGGTCAATAGGCTCCCCTCATGGCCTTTATCATAAAGGAGGATCACCTTCGGGTCGGCCTGGCTGAAGCTTCAAATGACATAGAACATTGGCTTATTGTCTATCTGCAGATGAAGGTGTCTTTTCTTCCATTTGGAAAACCTACAATTCTTGGAATCTATGTGTTGGGTATTGGGCATATGTTTAGATATGCTTACATGGTTTCTTGGGCAAAGGCGGGTAAAACATGACCCGTCGGTGGTTTAACCCTTTTATCTTCAATTCTACCCGAGAGGATGGTCGCAGTTGATCCGGCGGGTTGAAAAACAATAGTTTTCTATATGTGTGTTTAAATCAAAGATCGCTTGTATTGGAACATGATCGAGTTTGATGGGAAATGATTGGGCAGTTAACTATCTATGAATGGAGCACACAGATAGATAGGAAATTTGTGCCATGTGGCAGCTTGTCACCTTACCAAACTAGATCAAAATCCATTTCTTCGTCAGAAAAACCATCCGCGACATTGTGGGAGTTCCGTTGAAACATCTGGGACGTGCTGCGAACTTGCACCTTAAACACGGGACCCGATGGAATGGGAGGGTGGAGCCTAAACCACCGAAAAAGAAAGAGCAAGCCACCCGACAAAAGGAGAGAGCTCAATAAATACAAAATTGTCCCATGACACCCAGCAGGGTACGTGACCACTAGTCTCACGCTTTGGAGGATATGTGAATTTGGAAAGGTGAAAATGATCTCTGAGGAGTGGCTGTGGTCTCCCGGCAAGCCACTGGCGTTCCCTGCTAGCTTTAGCTATTGGTAGATAGGAGCTGGTGTGACTTGAAAGAGAGATCATAGTGCTTTTTCTCGAGATTCTGAGGTCTTCATTGAGACCATGGGTTTCAATGGATGTATCTTCAATAGTTGTTGGTAATGAGAGTGGAACAAAACAAAACTAGGGCACAGTCCGATCAACATGTTGCAAATATTGGCAAATGAAAGAGAAAATAGAAGAGTAAATTAGTGGGAAAGAAATGACGGGGCATGCAGTGACAAGACAGCCAAGCTGAAGAGGTGGCAAAGCTAAAGTTTGCGCCAAATGCCTTGCACGGACTTATAAACCTCCAAAATTGGTGGGTTTATGGATAGGCCTTACCATGCTACCGCAGGCTAGTTATGATTACTACAGTGTGGTTGCGGATGGCCGTGTTAAACGCCCACAGCAACAAACGCCTTCTTATAAAGGGTCTGTTGACTCCCAACCAGGGCTCTTCAACAGATCAAGCCGGCCGTTTCAAGTGTTGGTCTGCTGCAGGCATCAAGCTTCAGCTCTTCCAGTCCGGCCCGCAGGATGATGGGACTTTGTGGATACAAGAAGATAGAAGCACCATCTTCAACTGGAGGCAATATGGATAACTATGGTGGTAATCATGGTTCTTAAAAATTACTTTTCATCTTGATACATACATTTACACACACATATATATAATATACACATATGTAGGGATTCTGTGTTCTTGGGGGAATATATATATATATATGTGTGTGTGTGTGAAGAACCATCATTATGACATATGGGTGTGCCCACAAATGATGGAAACCAAAAAAACGTTTTTTTCAAAGAGAGAGATGATGAGAAACCAGTTGGGACCATCGGATACCCCAGTCTGCTTGCTGGCAAGGGCTAAACATGAAGGACACAGATGTGGGGCCGCATTCAACAATACGTAAGTAGTTGTAAGTAATAGCCAACTGGGGACTTCAACTCTCCACCTTGCTAAGGAGCTGATTATGGGAATCCTTCATTTTTTGTCTGGGATTACTTGGGTTGGCCCAGCTTTATGCTGCGTTCCCTTTGTTGTGTGGACTTGCCTGAATGAGGGCAAGATATGCTTCAAGTTTGACGGTAGGTGTTAAGGCCCGGTGTTCAATCGAGGTGGTATCATCCGTGTCCGGCCAATTCCTTGTAAATTTCCACACAAAATGGCTCTTGCAAAATGTCCATGTGCATGTCGATTGCCCAGGCTCGCACAAAACGGGTGTCGCGGCAGACGCGTCCGGCATTTTCCCTTGAAATTTCCACACAGTCCATGTCCACTTCGATTGTCCAGGCTCGCACAAAACGCTGGTCGCGGGCGATGCAACCGGGATTTCCCCTGTAAATTTCCACACAAAATGGCTCTTGTGAACTGTCCATGTCCATATCGACTGCGCAGGCTCCCGCAAAACGCTGGTCGCGGGCGATGCAACCGGGATTTCCCCTGTAAATTTCCACACAAAATGGCTCGTGTGAACTGTCCATGTCCATATCGACTGCGCAGGCTCCCGCAAAACGCTGGTCGCGGGCGATGCGTCCGGCATTTCCCCTGTAAATTTCCACACAAAATGGCTCGTGTGAAATGTCCATGTGCATTTCGACTGCGCAGGCTCGCACAAAACGCTGAGCGGCGACGTGTCCGGTATTTTCCCTGCAAATGCCCACACAAAATGGCTCTTGTGAGATCGCCAGTGCAAGCCTGTCGCTTTGGGCCTGTCAGATCGCTCTCGCCGTGGTGTGGTGCTCATTTTGAGATGGCTCGCACAACCTTCTCGTCACTTTGGGCCTGTCACATCGCTCTCGTTGTGGCGGGTTGCTCATTTGGATGGTCAAGGAGATCTTGCGCAGAGATTTTGACAAGGAGGTCTGAGATCTTGTACAGAGATTTCTTATAGAGATCTTGTACAGAGATCTTAACAAGAGGTCTCTTGCAAAGATCTTGCCAAAAGACCTCTTATAGACAGCTTGCACAGTGTTACAGAGATCTCTTCAAGCTTGAAGAGTCTTGCCAAGAGATCTCTTACAGAGATCTTGTACACAGATCTTGCCAGGCCACCTCACATGGAGATCTTGTAAAGAGACATTGCATAGAGATTTGTTGCAGAGATGTTGCCAAGAGATTTTTTTTACAGAGCTTGTGCAGAGATCTCATACAGAGATCTTGCCAAGAGATCTCTTATCGAGATCTTGTCCAGAGGTCTTGCCAAGAGACCTCTTATAGAGGATCTTGCCAAGAGGTCTCTTACATAAATCTTGCCAAGACAGCTTTTTTTTTACAGAGCTTGTACAGAGATCTCAAAAAGAGATCTTGCCAAGAGATCTCTTATCAAGATCTTGTCCAGAGGTCTTGCCCAGAGACCCCTTCTAGAGATCTGTATAGGGACCTTGCCAAGGGGTCTCTTACAGAGATCTTGCCACAAGAGCTCTTGTAGAGATCTTGTAAAGAGATCTTGCCAGGAGAGCTCCTATGGAGATCTTGTGCAGAGACTCCGAGACCTGGTGCAGATAGCAGAGGTCTTGCTCGGAGATCTTTTTTACACAGCTTGAACGGAGATCTTACTTTGAGATCCTTACAAAGATCTTCTGTGGAGATCTCCTACAGACACCTATTACAGAGCCTACACAGGGATCTTGCACAGCAGCTTCTACAGAGAACCTCTCAAGGAGATCTTGCGCACAATCTTCTACAGAGATCTTCGCAAAGGGACTTGCAGAATCTTAGACCACCTTCAATGAACACCATGTTTTCACTACTAGGGTTGCTCTTGTCCTGCTAGCTTGCAGCCATTGGTGATTTTAGGTCATTTCCACCTTTCCCTCTAGAATCCTCACTACACAATGCCTGGGTCTCTTGCCGGGATAATTTTTTGATGGGTTCAGTCTTGCGTTTGATTCTTCAACTCGTTTTTTGCATGGTGGAAAGCTTTGGGAGGCCTCAGATTTGATGCCTGAGCGCACATTTTGCTGAGGAAGTTTTAGTTCTTGCAACCACATCCGCTCAGGTGTTGTGGCTGAGGCATCGTGCTGGTTGGTGGTTTCAATAGCTGGCTGGTGGTTTCAATAGCTGGCTGGTGCTCACTGTTTCGCACACCGGGGTAAATCGAAATATGTTGCTTTTCACCCCAGCAAATCTGGCTGAAGTGAATTGACCTCACCACGGCCTCACTGCGCATTATGGTTTGTATGATTTTACGGGGGGATTATCAAAAACGGCCTGATGTAATTCAAGTTGGTGAGTCGGTTTTTAATTCTGTCAGACAAAGGGGATGATGATACCCAATTCGCTCTTATTGTTGGAAGGTCCGGTTCAATCACCAACCCCAGGTAGGGCTTAATGAACCCCCAATGTCAGACCTGGAAGAATCAATGGATCCGGAAGACCTATGAGTTTTATAGGGGGCACCCAAAAATGATGAATTGCTACAGTACTCAAAGTGCGACCAACAGAAATACAGAACCAAGGTTTATTGCAGCAATCCTTGATTGATGGCGGTTTATCACCTCCGGATTCTTTGGGTTCACCTCTTTGGCGCTAGCTTTTGGTTCCATTTTGACTTTGGTGGCTGCATCCTTATCAACTGTTAGCTTACCTGGGAACCCAGCGTATATGTTACTCGTTGTGAGTGTAAAGTCGCATGGTGGTTTCACGTGTAGTGTTTTTTTTTGTGTGTGTGTTTTCCCCCACCGCTTCCAACCCGAAAGATGGGGGAGAGAGGGAGGGAGAGAGAGAGAGAGAGATTATATATATATACAAGAATTTTGAGATATGATGACCTTTACGTATTTGGCTCATACTGCGTTGGCCCGGGGGTGACACCACCGATCAGTCAAGCCTTGAGCACCCATAATATCGTGACATGTAGACGAGATTCGTGGCATATTTTTTGGACAATGGATATATAGAGGGGCAGGTGCTCGGAGAATCATGCCACTTAGCAACTGCTCAATCAATAACCACGCTCAGAAAGTGTCCTGACAGGCTTAAATTTTTGCAGCCTTCTATATATTTTTTGATCTGTATACATGTATATATATATATAATTTAATTTCTAATATATATATATATATGTATATATATATATATTTTATGTATACATCATAAGTTTACTTACTAACCGCTGGCTAATTTGATGAGAACCCCGCAAACACTAACAAGTTAGGAGTCTTAGCTGCTGGTGGCCACCTGCAAACGCAGGGGAATTCACCTGAAGACGCGTCTGGAGATCTCAGCATTTCATCATGTGCAGCATGCGATCGATCCTAGATATGCTGACATACTGTTTTACGTTATATCCCATTTCTAGGGTGTATGCACATGTGTATACATCATATGCATGCATACATACATACATACATACAAACAAACATACAAACATACATAAATACATACATACATACATACATACATACATTATTTATGTTTATGTTTATTTTTCTATTTAACAGTATGCATGTTTGAAGGTATTCAGAGATTTCGCCTTTGGATCTCGTTGGATCGAGGTCCTCACCCCAAGCGCCCAGCGGATCCAAGTCCCTAGAGAAGGAGCAAGCCACGCAGCGCAAGTCGAACACAAAACGTGGTTGTTGCACCTTTGGGTCAACATCTGGCGGTTGAAACAAGCAGGCATCCTACCTCGAATTATGTAAGAGAAAACTTGCACTCCTGATTCGGGGATTAAAAGCTTTTTCATGCCTTTCCCTTAAATCAACCCCGGTGAAAGCATTGATGGCACCAAGCGACCAGTAGCTTCCAGCACTGATCCCCGAGTGGCAGCGGGCGATGATTGCAGATGGATTGGGACCACCAAACACTTTTGGATCTGGTGCACCAAACGGTCACTGAGGGTGGGGCCATCTGGGTAAACCCTGGTTTGGCAATGGTTGGAAGGTGAGCTGGCTAAAACATTGGCGAAACACATGATCATACATGGCGAAACGCCAAAGACAAAACAAATCAAAATTACTTAGACATTCCATACCATTCCGCTGACCCATGCAAACTGCTATATTTTCCCAGTTTACCCCATCATGTTGCTGTGCTCATCATTTTTTATGGTCTCTTTTTTTTTTGGACTTCCCCGTGACTTCACCTTCAGGAGAGCCAGCGGCTTCGCATTGAGAATGCCGTCTGGGGGCCTGATTGGAGTGGAGCTGACTACCAGAGGGTAAAACAAGCATTGGGCTTAGCATGGTTTGCCAAAGTGATACAGTGATACAGGGTCGTAGAGCCATACTTCAACTGATTTCCTTTTTTTGCATATTGCCTACGTGAATATAGATTGGGCATCCCAAGCTTTGCAGGGTATTGTTGCTCAAACTTGTGGTTAATATTGTTAGGTGGGTCACCCCCCAAACCTGACGAGGCTATCCTAACCGCCCCATATTTTGAATTCCGGGTTGACATACCAGATTTTGGCACGACTTCCTTGTACAACCTGGGGCGGCAGGAGCTGAAGAAGAGGCTGCAGTTCGGTTCAGAGTTCCTGAAGCAGGCAGGGAGATATGCGGCTGTGGTGGGGGCCCCAAACCATCAGCACGTGATGAGGAGAAAGCAAGTTCATTGGATGGATTAGGCGAAACATGCAGGAAGCCCCTTTATTTAATGATAAAAATTATGGTTTCCGGTAGGTTTTCCCTTAAACCAATCCAATGACAAGTGTTTGCCGGAAGTTGAAGGAAGCCAGTAGAAACAATACACTCTACCCACGTCGAGGTCAGTTGGATCCCAAGGCCGCGCCAGGAGAATCGACGACTTCGAGTGGAGAACGCTGAGCTGAAGAAACGGCTCTACTTCGCAGGGCCCTACGTGGGTGACCTCGGTGACCTACAACTAATGCATGCCAATACAGTTTCGGCTGGAGATCTCAGGTCCAATTTGGTGATTGTTCATGTGGGATTATCACAAATGGTTTGCTGTCAGGCTAGCTAGATTCCCGGAAATTATCTATGGATATTTGTTGCATGTTTAGTTTTGGTTGCAAGAATAAAGAACCAAATAAATAAATATATATATATATATACTTTGTTAGTATATATGTATATAGTAACTTCAAGAATATCTAAAGCATAATTATCCAGTTTTACATAACTTTTCAATGTTATATATGTTGCAAACTGTGGAGTGATCCTTCAACCATAATTACCCACCACGATGTGCAAATGGCTTGGGTTTTCTCCTTGAGGCCCAGGGAGCTTCAACCACATCGGTTCCCATTTGGGTGCCTTTCTTAGCATCCGAGAAGGTGACGGATTTCCGCTGTTGTTTCTGAAGCTTTTCTCTCAAAGCAAGCCAGTGATTCCCCTGATTCTCTGGCAGCTGGGAATTTGCACATAGGCACAATGTTGGATAATGTTGGCATCCTTGAACCAAACAAATGTATCTATGGTTGATGCTGATGATGCTTACACCCCAGTCGTGCTGGTTGATAGACATGATTGCTATTTTGTAGAATTGGTTGAAAGGAAAGCCCAGAGGAAAAACCCACAGGAAAATCACATATTTGGAGCAAAACTCCTGACTCATACTGTATCTTAACGAGCAAGGCACGCCCACACGCTCTCTCTCCAAGACATTCTCTATCTCTCTCTCTGTCCCTCCTTCCCCCCACGCACACATAAGGGCACACTCGGGGGCGCACGCACGCAAATGACTTGAAGGTGGACAAGGAAATCATGGTAATTGCATGACTTTCTTCTTCCCATGTCTGTCTTCAGTGTGCAGACACGGGAAAGCTGCAAGAAGCAGATCAGGCGATGACTAATTAAAGACCAGAATGCCTCCGGCAAAAAAGTTTTTGGGAACGATGCCTGAAGCGATGCCGTTCGTTACCTGGAGCGATACCCCCAAATCAGCAGAAGTAGACAGACCCCGAGACTTGGAGAGAAGACGGCAGCTGCTTGCAGCGACTTTGAAGAGCATAGCAAAACGGTTGCGGAAAAAGCAGGCAGCGACTTGTGCTCGCAAATGCGTCCTTCAAGCCAAGTGGCGGGCCTCGACATCATGATTTAGTTGTAGCTTCTCTCCCAGCAGTGGTAAATAAAGCAGGGGGAAAGTTGCCCTGCAGGTCGCCAAGCTTGACCAATGGCTACAAAACTAGTTGCTCGAAGAGTTTTAAAACTCATTGACAGAATTTGACAAAGAACGGTGGAGGCCTGCCTGAGCATGTATGTCATATTTCATGATTTTTAGCAAATGTGAGCTCCCACCATCCAAGGCTATAGGGGGCCTTGAGGAGCGATGCTCCCTAAACCGATGGCCATTGAACCAGTACCATGTTTGGACCGTCGCACATATATGTGTTTGAACGTGCCGTGGCCATCCCGTGGCCATGTTGGGACCAGCTCCCTTTTCGGAAAACCCCCATGATATTTCAATATATCATAAACATCTTAACTCCATGGGGATATTGTACCCCCCGCCCATCCCCTGTCAGGAAATATACCCACAATATTTATATATATATATAATTAATATTTTATGATATATCATATTGGAATTTGATGATTTGGTCATTCATATCTCATTATATCCTGGTCAGTTTATTTCATGATACCCACACAATGTTTTAATGTATCCCCAATGTATATTCCAACGTGTTCCCATTGTATATTCCCATTATCTCACCATTTTCCGAAGATTTTCCCATGATTTTTCCCACCAAAAACCATTGTTTGTTTTTCCTCACCAAGTTTCCGGTGCCTGTGATGGCCTCTGGCTGCAGCGGCTGCGGCGCCACACCGTGCGCTGCATAGGGAGGGGAAAATCTCCAGACTTGGGAAATGTGGGAAAAGTAGGCAAATGCGGACATCCGAAAGTTTTGAAACATCCGTTTGGAAGTGAATTTCTTTTTAAAAACAGGTGGAATCTGATTTCCCAGTGGCAGGATTGACTGCCAGAGGGTGCTGTCATCCTTTTTTTTGGTAGGTTCATGGGTGGTCAGAAATAGAGATCATATTATCCCAGAACTGGTTTAAGAGAGAATGTGCAGGAAATCCCTGCAGGCTTGGATACTGCAGCCATGGTTTTCTTGGATTTTACCTGTTTTCAATGTTGCGAATCTTAGAACCAAACCAGTGGAAACTGGGTTCTATCAAATACGAAATGGGATGAAAAATGGGAAAATTGATGGACACATATGGACACATGGTCATGTTTTGAAGGGTCCATGCGATATTTCCAGGATACGGAGAAAGATAGAGAGAGAGAGAGAGTATAATAGCTGCGTTTGGGCCACTTCAGAGTGTCGTACCCAAGACTAGATATCCATGGATATCTGCAAAACTACAGGCAGAAGAGGTTGCCATCCATCCATCCAGGATCATTCAGGGACTAATTGATCTCACAGAGGTAGCTGTTACCGCAGCGCTACTCGACTCAGGGCTGGAGTTCAGCAAGTCTTCCAGCTCAGACGGCCAGTGATGTGTGAGGTTGAACTTTATCCAGACAGGGCATACATGTGTTCAAATTGGCGAATCGCTACGTGCACAGTGCAGGAGCACGCTATTGTCTACTCTAAGTTTCTGGATTGTGCATATCAAACAGGTATATGGCTGTATATGAATTGTTTTTTTTTTTATTTTTTCTCTAATGGGGACTGGGGACTTGCCATTTTCTCATTGAGTTTGTGTCTGGCAAGTTGCAGGACAACTGACAACACAATCCGGTCATGTAGATTATGGTTTTCATTTTGTAGATCCGGCATGGCTTTCGAATGTGTTTGAGCATCCTGATGGCTTTAAATTGTTTTTAATATAAAGCTGTTCATTTTTCCACCCATTCTGTGTCACAGGTTGTAAGAACCAGCCTGTTTTCTGTCTCGTTTTGGCCACTGTAATCCCACATGCCAATGAAAAAACCTTGTCAGCTTACAACATCATGAGGCGACAGCAGAGCAGGTTCGGAAATGAAATGGCAGGTGGTATCTTGAGTTGGGCCAACAATTTCTGCCTTACATGTGAGATCAATCTTCTGCCATCTTACCCTGCCTGGGTCAACCCTGGCAATGGGAAGTCTCAGTCTCAGTCTGTAAGAGGAAACCCATCTACAAATCAAAGGGATCCGTTGCCAATTGTCAAGTTCCAAGCTGCTGCCAGATTAACAATGGGTCGCATCAGAAGGGGCCAGACCTCCGAAAATCTTGACCTAGATATCATGGGAGAAAGTAACGTGGTTGGGTCAGGCGGGCCAGATTTCAAGAACCCCCCAAAAAAACTAGAGTTCTTCGTTGTTTCGATATATTTCAATTTTGGAGGTTATTGGTTCGCAGTAGTCCTCAAATATCCTCAAATTCTGTTAGGGTGACCAATTTTGACCGACCCACGGAAATTGCCCAAAT